TTTGGTAGTGCTTTAGCCGTTTCAAGAAATCTTTGTTCTGTACTGAAATTGTCCTGTAGATCAACGCAGTTGTCCAGAATGTGAAAATGCGTGCTATTCATGTTGGCCTTTAAAAAATCCATGTTTCTCAGGAAATGTAAAAACCCATGATTTTCAGGTGCACGAGGAATTGAAGCTTCGCCAGGAGGGGACGAGCAAGAAGCCACTGGATGAGAACAGTGCAACACATCTGCTCCGACATGCACTGGGCGGCTCTGGTAGCATTGCAACACAGTACCTGCGACTCATCGAACTGCTTCAGCTGCCGCCTCATGTGGCCAGGAGATATCGGGATGATATCACCATCATTGTCGTGCATTTTGATCAGAAGTACCTCGAGGCTTTTCAGGAAGCTGCTGGACCTTCACAAGCTTGAACCTCATCGTTTCCTGTGATGAGATGTTGTGTTTTGTCGCTCATCTTCAGAGAAATTTCGCCGTAGTTCCCCCCTCTCCGTCAATGGGTATTTAATCAAGCCATGCGCAAAGCTAGTACGTGGAATCCTCCATGAAAATCGCCGTATTTTAGAACTATTTCTTCGTACTTTTGGCATAATTGTAGTATTTTTTTCAACTCTTAATTCCGTCACATGCGTTATAATTTGTCAGATTTATATGTTCTTCAAGAAGTTTCGTGGGTTTTTGAAGTGAAAAAGCTCAAAAAATCCATGTGAGCCTTAGGATTCGGAAGAACCATGCAGATGTAGAGGAACTGGAAGAGCAAAAGGGCTAGTGCAAATCCGTCCTCGAATCTCAAATAAATCCTCATTTTTTTAGAAAATAAATTGAATTTTCACATCCAGAAATTATTCTCGTAATGAACAGAATTTTTAAAAACGGGTATCTCTCGTCTTCATCGAGAACCTCTTTCTTACCAGAATAGTTTTCTAGCTGGGTTAAAGTGATTCGGGTCAACCTGCCACAAAATGTGTTTTTCGGTTGCTGTCTTTGTATTAGTTAGCGATTTTTTGAAGTTTTCTTCTTTCTTACTTCAACTTTCTAGAGAATACAGGTTGTAGTGTTTTACGTTGTAGTAAATTTCTCAATTGAATAGTGTTGCTAATTGTCGTCGTTGTTTTCGTTGCCGTCGT